GTGTTTCCATTCTTTCAATAACCTGTTTCATTTCTCCAGAGATTTGTTTCATCTCTCCAGCTATTTGTTTCACATAACTGTCCATTCTTTCTTCCATTTTTTCCCCAAGGTTGCAAATTTAATCCCTAATTCATCAAACATTGGTTTAAATAAATTTAAAGCAATCATCTTCTCCTCTAATGGTTACTCTGCAGAGCCTCTTCTCATGTCTTTCGCTACCTTCCTCGTAGCTATATTCTTTTTATTTTTTTCCCCCCTTTACACAAGTAAAATTGGTAGCTGGATATATTAAATACAAGAGAAAGTAAATAGACAGTTCATGCCCTCTGGTCTTTCAACCTGGAATTGCAGGCACCCATCAAAGGAAATACACAGGGATTGAGTCACAGTCTTCTATTTTAGAAACCCAGCCAATTAACAAGCATAGTCCCGCAAAACAAAAAACTTTCCCATGGAAAAATTAAGCCTCATTACTGCAAATGGAGTTTCATAGAAAAATAAACTTCTAACAAATAAATCTTCCCTTTTCACTATAAATAACCTTTCTCTTTTAAATTCCAATTTTCATCCAGCTTTTTGTGAATAAATCAGATACAAATTAAAGCTCTATTTCTTCTTTTAAAAATATAGTCCCAAAAATAAGGATAAGCCCCAAGAGAATTACTTATCTGTTGCGAAGGAAGCTCTCTTAAGTTGAAAAATATTTAAAATCCAAAGTGCTTTAGAAATGAGGTTTGGTCAGCTCTAGTGTCCATATAAAGGCTGCACTGCAGCTGTAAACAAAGATGGATCCCCCGCCTCCCAGCCACTTTCCACGATTAGCTTTCAAGGAATGGCCATCCGGAGACCGAATGGGTTGATTTCTTGCTTCCTCCTTGATCCGGAGCAAGTTGGGCGGCCAGCATTTGCTGCCAGCCACTGACCTCACTGCAGTGCAGTCTCCGCTAGTTTGAATATGCCTAAGCCGCCATTAATCCCCTCCGGAAGTCTATCCAAGTCCAATGTATCTGGAGGGTACAAAACTGGGAGCTACTACAAGACATGTTGTTGGTTTTGCTCTGGAAAGGTTGAGGTGTAATAGATATTGATTCTGCAGTATTTAAAATTGATAGTCCAGTCCCATAAAAATAAAAACCAGGTTCATAATTATTTTAAAATGATTATGAAAGGTCTGAAATCTTAAATCAGGAAATGCTACCTTCTGAGAAATCAGAAATACTGTTTTTTAATCACTGTAGTTCCTCTAAGAAGGTGTAGATATTAAAATTGTAGGGGGCAATATGAAGTGTACTGCTGTATTGTAATATTTTCAGCTCTGATTGTAGTAGCAGCTTAGCTAAATAAAATCAGAATTTGAGTTATCTTTCTGATGCCA